TTGAGCTGTTGGCCAATGGGGTCTCATAAACTCCACAAACTTTATAGACTATTGCCAATACCTATTAGTTTTCTTCCTCAACTGGATACTGAGCACATCACATACTCATGATCATAGCAGATGAAGAAATCTAGCTGGTATTCAACTAGAAGCTTCACCCCCACTGGCTAGAATCAATAGTTCTGAAAGATGCCCTATATGCTACTAGAGAAGAAATTATCGAGCTCATCCAGCTACAAATCTTGCAATCAACAATAACAACTTGCCAGTAAGATATGCCTTACGCTGCAATAGTGGTACAAATGTTATGGTGCATCCAACCACTGTTAATGGATTTCAGACCTGCTCTTCAAAATGCAAACTATATATGAAAGTATCAGTGAGGCCAAGAACCTGAAGCTAGATAGTAAAGGACCATAGAAGAAAAGCTTTCTGCTAAAACATAGCAATAAAATAACTCCTGATGGCATACGCTGTACCCATAGACAAATGCATCCATCACTCAACCCTCAACAGAAGAGATTCATCTTGCAGTAGATGATAATTAAGAAAGAGACTCAGGAGTGCTCAATGTGCAGAGAATAAAGGACTTTGGAATGTATGTATCACACCCTCCTACCCAGAAGAGGGAAGAGATTATGAGAGCCAGATGTTTTAGACAACTTCAAGAAAACAGTGTTTTCAGACACAACAGGGCAGGTGCACATAGTAAATCAGAATGTCACAGCATATGCAATAACTGCACAAACTCAAGTGAGACAAAAGTCCCAGGGCAGAGAAGGGAAAGTGGCCATGCAGTCCTGATCCTAGACAAAGATCCACAGGCCAAAGGTTATCAGAAAAAAAAAAAAAAAAAAAAAAAGAAAGAAAGAAAAGAAAAGAAAAAATAGTGGGGACTGGAAACCTTAGAAAGACAAACTTCTTCTGTCTTTCCTGAGATTCTTCAAGAACTTCACCACAAAGTCCAAAAAATTAAAAAAAGACAAACAAACAAAAATTGCCCCCACCTCCTAACTCATCTGTGAATCAGTTTTCAGGTTAAAGAATAAACCTTTTCTTTTTTGAAATGCGACAGAGGAAAGGCTATTTGTGTGTGAATGTGAGTGTGTGTGTGTGTGTTTCTAATTTACATATTTACAAAAGTTTCTATTCTGTCAAAGCTCAGCAATAACTCATCAACAGCAGACCATGAGCAGGTCACAAAGAATATATTAAGCTGTTGTGCTGCCCCCTGCTGGACAGTGAGAAGTTCACAGGTGAAGTGAGCCAGTGAATTTAGATCTAAAGAATAAGATGTTAAAATCTTTGTTAGGAATGTTCTATTTAAAATGAAATTATGCATTTCACAACGATAACAAAGGGCGAGGTATATAAGGCTGTGGTTGCATGCATACCTATCCTGCAAGACGCTCTGCATTCAAACTCTAGCTCTCTCACTCCAAATATATACTAACATTATTCCATGTTTTGCTCTTTGTAGTGGTGAACAGGCAAAAGGAAAAAAAAAAACTGATATATGTTATTCACAGTTATTTATTAATCACATAAAGTAATGTGACCCCTGGGGAAATTACCCAAGTGTTTGCTCACTTACACTTCTGACAGGACAGGAAAACCTCAGTTCAAGGATGAAAACAAAAAGGCAGATACCAAGTGTCATTTAAAAGTAAAGGTTTACTCCACAAAACACCAGGCTGTGTGCGGATCACAAGGAGGAGTGCCCCATTACTGGGGAACATAGGAAGGGTCTTCATTTAACAAGATACTTCCAGTATTAGAACCAGTGTCAAGAATAGTGAGGCTGTGAGAAATATCTAATTGTCTGTAATATCCCTTCACATGACTGTACATTTTAAATGTGTTACGTGACATTCATAGTCATTCTGTTTTCTATATATCAATGTACAAATGAGCCTTCTGTATGTGCAGAGGCTATGGCTGCCTACCTCACCTCACCGAATTCATCTTAGTCCTCTCCCTAGGGCCATTAAACAGTCTTTCATCAGGTGAAGGGCAGGGCAGGTATGTACATACCCCATCTTTCTCTCTTCTGGGCAACTCTGAGCACTTTATACCACCTTCTGTTGGTTCCTCACAAGCTGCCTCAGTCTTCCACTGGAACCCTGATGTCCAAAACCCTCAATGGCTGAACTCAGTCTATCTGGTCTCCCTTCTTTACAACTATCCCAGTGTCTGTAGACTGGTGGGAGGGACCAGGCCAAAGCATCATTCTAGGCCTCTGGGAAAATGTTATTATCCATGTATCATGTATGTTGTGGGGTCAATAGTGTGACTCGAGTTCTGGTTTTAGTAAAAAAAAAAGGAAGAAAGGGAGAGAGAGGGAGGGAGGGAGTGAGGGAGGAAGAAAGAAAGGAAGGAAGGAAAGACGCAAAAACAGAAAACACTGGCCGGGTCCAAGAGGTCCAAAACAGAGAAAACTCTCAAGGTAAAGCCCTGGCTAATGTTTGTCAAAGACTTATAAAACCAAAAAGTTAAATGAACATATTTCCTGTGTTGGTGCAGGCAAGTCTTGACTTTGTAACAGATGTCCAGCAAAGCCTCAATCACCCAAGCAATTGAATTTCAAATGAAAGCAGCACTTATTAGTTACCCTATTTGACCATGTGACTCAATACCTTATAGGAATAAAGCATTTTGTAAAACTGTAAAAATTAGCACTTTTTTGAGATCATGAAAGAAGAATATTTTTCAATTGTAAAGAACAACAAAAGAAAAGGAAAGGAAGAGAAAAATATATCCCTTACTATAATCCTCTGATCATCAGAGGAGGGTAACTTATCACTAAGTTACTCCTCAGTCCTAAATTTGAACACATTCTTGAGATGCTAAAGATTGTAAATTACATTTGCATGTAATATGCAGACTAGAATTTAATACATCAACCTCTATAAATTTTGTTTTATATATATATATATACACATATATATATATATATATATATATATATATATCCTCAATGCCACCTTTCCAATATGGAATTGTAACAACATCATTTATTAATTTTTAAACACATCTCTCTAAATGACAGAATACAGAAAGAATGATTTAAAAAATGCATTGTTCCTCAAACTTTCAATGTCTCTGTGTCATGTAAGATTAGATATTTTATACTTTTTCTCTGGTTTGTCTACATAAGAATATTCTGAAAAATATCCTCTTGCCTTGGTCTTCTTAGTGCTAGATGACAGGCTTTATGTTTTTTTTAATAATGCCCTTGAATTGAATTCTTCCTGGTGTTTTCTTAGGGGGAGATTCATGATTTATGATTATAGCAGTATTGTCACAGCAATGCTTTGTCTTTCTCACCAGAGATTACAGGGTTCAACAGAACACTGTTTACCCCATTATTGTTGTTAAAGTATGCATTGTTGGTAATTGGTGTCCACCAAGTCTCACAGCTATAGCATTCTTTGTAGTTGTTAGAAATATTGAGAGGAAATACAGTCATCCCGTGAAAATATTCTTATAGGGGAACTTAATCTAAAATGTAAGAAGCAATAGACTCTAAGTCATAGAATAATACTTGTATTGGGTTTTCTATAACCAAAAACAGTAACAGAAATTCTTCCCTAAGAGACAACAGGATCATAGGATGAGCTAGAATATGACGAGACAACAAACAACTGACACATCTCAATGCATCAAATAATCAAAATAGCGTCTCCCCTTTGCTTTCACTGATTTTTGTGAGGGGTTGATTATCACTCAGGGTGTAGCTAACCCAGATTGACCTTGATCCAGAAACTGTACCTTAGGGCTAGGAGGAGGGAGTAAGGTGATTCTGCATGGCTCTTAGATTCTGCCTAGAGGAACATATACTGTGTGAGCCATACTTTTTAAAACAAACCAAATCTCTATCGATGTATAGGTAAACTGAGCCTAATACTCTGTCCAGAAGAGAACAAAGTGGATGTGTCTAAATGGTCCCAAGGGGGCTAACCCTCTCTCCTAGACTTTGCATTTTAGAAAAATGAAGTGTAGTGAATCTACCGTTCTTCCCAATAGTTTCTTCCTTTCTGAAGACAGAGCTACACTTTGTGCCCCTTGAGTTTTAACTGACTCAGTGTTTGCTTCCAACTTTAAAAAGGCACAGTCTGAGGAGAACTTAAAGCATGGAAACAAGCATTAAGACCCTTAAAGTAGCCAGCCTTGGTGGCATACACATTAATTCCTGCACTCAGGTTGCAGAAGCAGTGCATTTTCGTGAGTTCCAGGTCAGCCGGGTCTACAAAGTGAGTTCTAGAATATCCAAGGGTTGTTACAAGAAACCCTATCTCAAAAGGAAAGCCACCAAAAGGGACCATTGACCTGGAAGATGGTGGGTGGGGGCCGTGCTCACTATAGAATGTCATGAAGCATCAAACTGCATCACAACCAACTATAGAACACTGGACTCATAACCAGGGCCACAGTGAGGCATTCATTCTTGCCTCCAGTTCGTTGACTGTGCTGCCAAGGTTGTATGCCTTGGAGCTACTGGCTACGAAGCTCATTGTTATTACCTCAATTTTGGGGTATAAGGAGGCCTATGGCCCTCTGAAGCCCCACTTTTCCCACAAGACTTTGGCTTTACCACCACTGAACTGTCTACAGTGGAATTACTGGTGAACTATCTCCTAAGAGACAATAATTCATTGATGGACTCGGGGAGTTAAAAGTGCACTTTCATTCTGTCTCACCCACCTGGTGTCACTTTCCTCTTGACTCCAATGCCAAAAGTGCCAAAGAGGACATCTAACACTTTACACTGTGATTTCTGAACTTTAAACAAAATGTCTCAAGAAGATAAGATGGCTCCCAGTGGACTAACTGATCTCCCAGATATCAATACAACAATATTCCCAAAGGATGCACAAAGAGTCAGGTTAACCTGCACTTCAATGTGGAAATTAAAAGGCTCTTGCCAAGAAAGCTTGTTCCTGACCAAAGGTAGGCCAAGCCCTTCCTCAACATGGCAACCTAACCAGCATCTTGGTACCATGTGTCCCAAACCTGCAGTGATATTACAAAAAAGGAAGAGCCAGGAGGAAGCAGGAACTGCGGAGAAGTCTGAAGATCCACACCAGTCTCCAAAGAGAGGGAAAAAAGAACACTGTGAAAAAGAGCCTGCCCATGAAGAACCTGGAAAACATCAGCTATTGAATCCCAAGAAAGAGGGTCCATTGCACCCAAAAAAAAGAGACAGGCTCATAGACCCTCAAGAAGAGGATGTTATTGAAGTGAAATGTGTGAGTACTGGCAAGAGGCATAAACGCACTTACTCTAACATACAGGAAGATGTTGAGAAACGGCATAATGAAAAGTACAGAAGGTTGTTGGACCATTTTCAAACCAGAGATGCTGTCCACTGTGGCCCTCCCAACAGTCACACAAGACCTGCTGACAACCTGAAGAACATCAAAGGCTGCATGGAAGAGCCTGTTCATGGTTGCAAAAGAACTCAATTCCAGCCAAATCACTGTAGATCTCCTGTCACAAAACATCATTCACCAGTCAAAACTGAAAAGAGCTATTCACCAGAGACGCTTTTGGAAACACAAAAGATGGTTGGAGTGGACATTGATAACCAGAGAACAAGACACCACACCCAGCCTGGTATTCTGGGAGGAACTCAGGCCCCAAACTCCGGAAATAGTGACACCAGTGGCATCTTCCACAAGAACTTGTTAATGCCTGAGGCCAAGGAGAAGCCTTTTGAGGAGAAAGGGAAGAGCAGCAGCCAAGACCATGGTCTTGATGTAACACCTAACATGGAGAAGGAGATCATGAATGCACTGGGCCCAGGGCCCCAAGAGGACATCTTAAGCAGTGCGTTTAAACTGAACATTACTCGACGAGACATCCAGACTCTTCAGGAAAGCCAGTGGCTCAATGATGACATCATAAATTTTTACCTGAACCTACTCTTGGAACGGAGCAAATCACCAGGCTATGCCACACTTCACACCTTTAATACATTCTTCTATGCAAAACTCAAGTGTGGGGGATACAGGTCTGTGAAAAGGTGGACCTAGTCCGTGAATATCTTTGAAAAGGACATTGTCCTGGTGCCTGTACACCTGGAGGTCCACTGGAGCCTAGTGGTCATAGACCTTAGAAAGAAGACCATTGTCTACTGGGATTCCATGGGACTCAAGAGACCAAGTGTCCTGAGGTTGATTTTCCACTATCTGCAAGAAGAGAGCAAAGCAAGAAGGAATATAGATTTGAACCCTTCAGAGTGGAAGCAATACAGCATGGCAGCAGAGGAGATTCCTCTGCAGCTGAATAGGAACGATTGTGGAGTGTTTGCCTGCAAATATGCAGACTATATTTCAAGAGGCCAACCCATAACCTTCTCTCAGCAGCATATGCCTCTGTTTAGGAAGAAGATGGTATGGGAAATTCTGCATAAGCGCTTACTGTAAAGGCAGCACTCACTGTCTGCTGAGGCTGCTCCACAGTCTTTTATATGCCTTGCCAAGGACTTCAGGCAGGGTGGCATAAAGAGCCTTGAAACAGGTTCTGGGCTGTAAAAAGGGGATGATGCCTGAACACTCTTCCATGTACTGCTAACTTGGAGCAAGGAAGAGCTGCATCTGAGGCGATGTTTAATATGTATGTGCCTACTACATGTTATAAACACAGAATCCCACAACATAACATGCTGATAAGCATGCCACTTTTGATATTTTGTGACTAATGTTCGTGTTGGATTCTTTTTCAATTGTTTAATATTTATACTTTTATTGGTTTTGTTCATGGGTTTTGTTCATTGGTTTTTGTTAATTTCCATGATATTTATTTTTAATTATCAACTTTTTGTTTGAACTGTTTATTTTGAAAAAAACAAACAAAATGAAAAAACAAAACAAAAACACCAATCCAATCCAGTGCCAGTCTCTACTGCCAATCAGGCTACTTGTCCTAATGTGGGATCTTTCTGATTAGTGTTGAATTCTGTCCATGAGATACTGGGCTCAGCCCAGATATGAACATTTCTAAAAGTGACACATGTTCCAAATCACGTCATGGTTCCAAATGAGGAGATCTGCTTACTCTTTGGATTCTAAGAAACTTCTTATAATGCTAAATATATATTTATATTTCAAGTCTCTTTTAATATCAGCCTCAGCCTTGCAAGTGCTGTAATAAAGTATTTCTTCAAAGAGATATTCAATTTAAAGTTATATTTCTTCATATTTTCTTTGTATACACAAAGCTAAAATTAAATATTTTAATCATTAATATTTAGAATTTTCCAACCCAATGTACACAATTATTATGGATTTAATGGTACTTACTAGTTATGATACAAATTAAACAATGCTCTTTTACATTGGAAAGTTCAAATTTATTTTTTCTATTAGTTGTACATTGTGTCTGTGCTTATGAAGTTAAACATAATAAAGTTTAGTGCTGTTTGAATATACTTTACAAAGTCTTGTCCCTGATGTTGCTCACATTGAGTCATAAGTTTTTCTGAGAGAATTGGAATGCAGATACCCAGGGTGTATTTTGTCAGTGATTGTTATTTTGTTTTGAGCCTCTGATGTGAAGACTGAATACTTTAGTGGGGAACCCTCCTCTATCGTGATTGTGGGAGAAGCTCCATATTGCAGAACATGTCAGAACCCTGTAGGAAAGTTGCAGCAGTGAATAACCTCAGTGTAAGGTGAGGAAGAACACAGATCTCTGCACTCCACAGCATGGGTAAGCAAGGTCATGCAGATGTTTACCCCACCCACATCCATAGAGAAAAATGTCACAACTGACAATGAACACAACAGCTAATAGGATGAAGCTACATCCTTTGCACAACAGGGCCATTAGAATTGCTGAAGCCTATCTTGTTGCTCTCTCCCTCTTTGGTGTTGGAATTTTCCTGCATACGTTTCCTGGTTCCTAATGCAAGCTGTGCTGACTCACTTCCACTTTTCGGGCAGGAGAAACTAGAACACCTAAAGAAAAGTCTCTCTACCTCGATTTATGATACATTGTCTGAGTATTTCCAAGTGCTGCACACAGTCATTAAAAAAAATTACTAATTCATAAATCTTCTAAGTATTACAAATTCAAGAATCTGCAGCCAGATACCTACAATGGGTCTGTAACATCAATATGATAAAATATAAAACCTACTGTGCATGTCCTACTATTGTAAAGCCAGAATATGTTGATGTGTATCTTGGTTAACTTTCAAAAGTGCATGAATATTCCATAAATCTTTCTGTAACTTGCATGAGTACCTTCCAGTAGAAATCAGGACAGAGAAAGAAGCTTAAGATTCCACTGAAAATCATGAGACTGAATGTAGTGGTGACAATTTATTCAAGGACAAACCTGAAGCAAATATGATAAACTTGATGTGACAAACCACACTTTTAGAAGGGATTTTTTTTGATGAATGTGGGCTGAGAGTGTGGTCCCCACACAGCTTTGTACTCAGAGTCATTCACTTCTTGTTATTGTAAGTTTACAGGGTACAGATTTTTCTTTATTTTTGAAGTCAATCACGTACTATTATTTCTGGGTGTTGTACTCAAGTGTACCACTTTTGGAAGTCATTGATTTTTCATAAAATATGAGGAGATGACACAGATGATTTTTTAAGATTTAGACTCCTGTCTTTTGAATAGGTGATTCTTCCTGTAAGCTCTATCCTGATGCTGAGCCTTTTTCCTTCCCTCCTTCCTTCCTTCCCTCCCTCCTTCCTTCCTTCCTTCCTTCCTTCCTTCCTTCCTTCCTTCCTTCCTTCCTTCCTTCCTTTCATTTTTTGTTTTGTTTTTCAATACATGGATTGCTTTGGAACCTGTCCTGGAACTTGCTCTGTATCCCTGGTTGGCTAGGAATTCACAGAGATCTCTTCTTTCTCTGCATCCTGAGAGCTGAGGTTAAAGGAATGCACCTCTACCACCAGAATGTATACTGAGTCATAGTCCATAAAGAGTAGAACTATTTTAAGAGTACCTGAAGACCTTTCTATATATGGGCTATGTAAGAAAAGCATGTTCCTTTTTAGGAGGACATTATCCATTCCTCCTGCTTGTATAAATCCCTTCCTCCTGCACCACTCTTAGGTCAAGAGTCAGGACTTACATTTACATCCCTGGGTGGCCTGAGAACTTGGAAACTTATTAGTCCAATTGCATCTTTCTCTTTTCATCTATGCCAATGAATTTTGCTTTCTTGGTCACCTTTCATTCTGTTTGCTTTTCTTTCCAATACAGAACATGTTAGAGTTATTTCTAAAAGGCAACCACCTCCACTGAGGAATTTCCTTCACCATACTAGCCTGTGGTCAAGTCTGTGGGTCATTTCCTTCATTGACGTGAGAAACCAGAGCCCACTGTGCAAGACAATCCCATGACAGTTGTTCCTGGGTGTATAAAAGAGCTAGATAGAAACTCCAGGCATTAAGAACTACTGAAAGATGAGGAATTAGTTTTCCCTAGAAATGAAATTCTTAAATGGATGTCCAATATCCGTCATGTATAGTGTTAGCTATAAAACATATACATATAAACAAGGACAATGGACACATCTGGCTTTATTTATTTATTGTTTCATATACATATGTACACATATATGTGTAAAGACAACAATAATAAAAGAGGACATGAATTTTTGGATGGATTAGAAGGGTTGCAAAGAAGAGAGGATCAAGGATGTTGAGTATATTTTAATTGAAAATAAAATTACTGTAATAAAATAGAGAGCATACCCAATGAGCAAGCCATGGGGAGCAAGAATCCAGGCAGCACACCTTCTCACTCTTTGCTTCAGCTCCTGCCTCCAGCACACTGCTTTGGTTTCCATGGATGATAGACTGTCATTGGTAACTCAAATAAAATTCTCCTTCCCCAGTTGCCTTTGGCCAGTGAGCAAGAGAGACAAAGTAGCACAACTTTCTTTTTTATAAATCCTGTCAGTCATGCAAAAGTAAGCACTACACCACATGCAAAATATCATTCATTCCAACATCCAGGGAAGGCAGAAGGCACAGGGAACAGGCCATTTTTCCATCCTCTATGAAAGCTAAGTCATGTTTTCTTTGGGACAAGTGCTACTTAGATAGCTGTTTCCTTTTTTTTTCTAGACCTCTGCACACTATGACAATATGAGCTATTGCAATTGAGTCATAACAAATCTAAACCCTGTAGCTTACATGCAGTGATGCAGACATCTAATCCCAGGAGGAGGTAAGAATGTCACTTTGTGGGGCCAGTCTGAGGTGCATATGAAAATTTTGTCTTAAAAATAAGATTCTGATCTTTCCATAACCAAACTCTTGTTCTCTATGTTATGTTGACTTCATGGAGGCTTCCAGTCACCAAGTAAGGAGTTCCCATGGGATTAGTTACAATTTATCCTTATGTGTCTGGCAGAAATTGACCCAGTATAGCTGGTATAGCTCCATGCTTGTATCCTTGACATAACGACTCAAAGAAACTATAGCATTCTAGTTTTATTCATTTTCAAGGAAACAAATATAATGCCTAACTGACAGTTGATGATGTACATGAAACTAATTCTCTTTGGACATTAAATATATTATCCCGTGTTAATGGAGGACTTAGATATTATTAAAGGTATATTATTCTATACTAGGTATAGCATACCTGCTATATTAAGTATATCTAGTATACTTAGGTATTGTTGACTGTATGGTTGATGCATTGAAACTTTAGACAATTTTCTAGATCACATTTGATTTCTCAGGAAGAAGACTATCTACACTGTCACTTATGGTTCCTAGAATAAGGAATTAATTTTAGGACATGCTCTATTTTCTGCAGAAGATATTTGTTATTGTCTGAAAAAAGTTAACTCTTTTAAAAAAACTGTCAAATAAATATGAATTTAAAAACAATATGTCAATGGGACTAATTGAACTTTAAAATATAGGACATGTTTTAAACTATGTAGTTTTGTTATTAAACAGAGTGAGAAGAAAGATTTATTGAGATAACTTTTGTTTGTAATATTTCTTATTAGTTTATCAAATTTATTTTAGCACTCAAACTATGGATTCTTTATTTCATTCTAGTATAGGACATAGGCTCGATGCATATGTTTAATTTCCATATGCTCATTTATTGTGTGCCTTCAGTGCATGTGTGTGTGTGTGTGTGTGTGTGTGTGTGTGTGTGCAAGTGTACACATAATAGACTACAAATGGATGTCAGATGAAGACTCCCAAGAGGAGATTCTCTCTTCTCTAGTTCTCCATTCAGTCTTGTCAGGCTTAACAGCAGCACTAGACCTGAGGGATACTTAAGGGGCTGGGGTGGGACCTGAGAAAGGCAGTGTGAGGTTAAAGCCTGTCCTGGGAGAAGGTGTCTGGCAGTGGATTTATGAGATAGGGTCTGGCAAGGCTAGAGGGCTAAGGTAGAGCCTGAGTGATACTCCATGCCTTAAATCCTGC